GCCGCTTCTCCCGTTCACCGCCGGCTTCGAGAACGTCTCTAGATCCACAAATCACAATCAAAATCACCAGATCCAGAACCAAAACCAAAAAAATCCCCCCAAAAATGAAAAAAAATCGGAGGTTAGGGCTAGAGATCTCACCGTCGGCGTCGGAGGGAGGGCGAAAGACGGCGGAGATCTTTCCTTGAGCTTCAGAAGGGGGAAATGTTTGGAGATTTGATTCTGAAGAGCACAAATTTTGAGATTTTGGGACTAGATCTGAGATCTGAGATCTGAGATGTGAGAGAGAGAGAGAGAGAGAGAGAGTACCTGTGAATTTGACGGAGACGTGATCGGACGAGACGCCTGAGAGAGGGGGGGGGAGAAAAGAGAATTAGATCTGAAGAGATAGAGAGAGAGAGAGAGAGAGAGAACGTAACGTGTCGGATTGGGCAGGGTTCGGGTGCAAGCGTACCGGAACGGAGCGGAGACGGAGGGTTCTGCGCTGTCGATGGTAGGATGGTAGACCACCGTGATCATACATCTCTGGTTCGTCTCAAAACCGAATGCGGATTTCTTCAGCTGCTGCTCTTTTCCTCTCGCGCAATATTTTAATACTTGATAGCCGATGCGGGCGAAACGAGGAGGAGTTCGAAACCCTTTTCTCTTGTTTGTTTGCGCGCTGGGGGGTGAGCTCAACGAGACGCGGGCTCGGGTTAAGTAGAGCCTGTCACTAGCTGGTGCAAATTAATAAATGAAAGATAAAAAAGCTGAAGACAAATTATTTTCAGGTTTGAATTTATGAGAAGAGAATAGAAAGCTCTCACCCAATTTGATTATGTAATCTGTAAAAAATATCATTAGAGGGTTAGAATAAAACGATAGAAATGACAAAATCAAATTTCTTTGATCGTGTTCAATTACAAGTGAGAAGAGAAAAGAATATTTTTAAGGAAATGCCTGTTAACTAAACTACAACTCATTGAACTACACTACACATTTTGATTTTTAGCCTTAACAAAACGGCTTAACAAGTGGACATGGTTAATAGAGATGATTTACTAAAGTTCTCTAATCTAAGCCAAAGTTCTTTAATTTAAGAGCCTGTTTGGTTCAATTCCGTAAATCATAGGAAACCTCATTTTCGTATAGAAATACCATTTCTAACTTACCCTTACAAAAAAAAAAAAAAAAGATGGGCGTATGGTTGACTCCGTTGACGTGCTTAAGAAAGCACGTACATATCACATAAAGAACGTCTACAATGTCTATCTGACTTGCTAACAAAAAGTAAAATATGCATTAAAGTCCGGAGTATAACCTTCATTAAAAAAGGCCAGCATTAGCAGTCCTCTTTATTAATGTCAAATTCTGCAACCCCAAATATTGATAATTTGGAAGACGAAATTTTGCAACTTCCACCGCCAGACTGACCAGTTTCTGGCAATAGATTACACCAATGAATAGGAAAATTTTCGAGTGAAAAAAAAAACCAAAAACATCTATGAAAAGAAAAACCCGTAAATTATCGTAGAGGAAAACGTAAATCCTGATCGCTTCCTCCTCTTTAATTACACGCATGGGTCTAAATCCGGAAGAAAGGATTAATCTACCAATTATACAAACAAATTATAAATCCTTATAAAAAACAGTAGCTAGCTGTGGCCATAGGCTAATGAACATAAACTCAGCTTGACATCCATTGCTGAATCCTTGTAACAGAAATCCAAGCATAGAAATAACACGAGATATATATACAATTGTATATACAGCTTCCCAGTTATACAATCAGAATTTTTTTTCCAGTTGCAGCAGCGACAACTCAGCAGATTATTCATGGAAATATCGGTTGTCAGAATACAATGCCTACTTTATGGATTCAACACCGTTAGTAAATGCCAGCTCACAAGCTAAGGCCAGATGATCGCTTCCCCATCTCTGTACACCATGATTACAAAGTAACTTTTTATAGTAGGTATGTACCCAAGTAAATAAGAGGATGGATTTAAACTAAAACAAAATCACTTCAAATACAAGGTTAATGATCAGATCTTACTCGCGTTGGAAATCCAGAAGTCCTTCGTAAAATATGTTTCGGAATTGTATCGAGTACTTTGACAGTCTGAAGGCCTTCGGAACACCTGGATGATTGTTTATAATTTAGCTGAGAGCTATCGTCAAAATACTGGGAACTGAATAAATGCACATGTTACACTTACACCTGGGTGCTAATGAAGGAGAAAACATAGTTTTACAGTACCAAAGCAAATACCGTCCAAAAGAACTGTTTGGATGATACTTCATATACTATTAATGGAATCAAGCAAGAAAGAAAGATATGGTGCCCTTTCAATACACAACCTCAGGGGAGATATGTAGGTTCATTGTACTCTTGTGTCTGGCTTTAGTTCAACAAAGATAGGTCATTTAGCATTTTCATAAATGAATCACCATGTTATAATAGCTAATAGCGGATACTTATTCCCTATGCACAGAAAATACCTCCATGTTCACAGACAGTGATCATCAGTAATGAATATAGTAGGTGTTCCCGCTCAAATTATTTCATTTTTGGAAACGGTTCATTGTGAAGAGAAGAAAACATCATAAATGGATCATTATGGATTCAGTAATGAAGTTACTCTACCCAGCACTTTGTATCAATAAGTCACCAGGTTCTATGCACAGAAAAGAATCCATGTTCACATGTCAGTGATTATCATTATAAAACGAATATAATAGAGGTTCCAATGCAAACTTATATAATTATTGGGAAACATTTCATTTTGAAAAGAAGAAAACAACATCTTAAATTGGTCATCAATTCCAAATGTCAGCAGAACTATAGAATTCAACAACAATAGAAAAAGAGGCAAAAGTTCTGTTTTGTTTTACCTAGCGAGAGGGAAGAGCATAAAAGATACTAACCATATATAGTCGACTGTGCCCATAAACAGCCTATTATAACTGGTGACTTCTGGTTCCCTGTTCGAGTCCTTAGTCCCCGCTTTATCCTGTGGAAAAGATAACATGACTTAGCCTCAGTCAGAAGAGTAGAATTTCTGCATCAACAATAATTAGAACATTCCTTTAAAATGTCACAGTAGAGATTGCACAAGTTATTTCTATTTGCTATCCCCCTTGCTATTGCAGAGTACCTACTTCCAGTATAATGCTCGTGCTTCTGGAGACTTTATACAAAGAATGAAAGCTTGTCTATAATGACAACAAAAATTTCTACAAGCATAAAATTGAACATGCCTCTAAGCTAAGAATAACAATATCAAAAGCTGTGATCTAGGAAAACAAAACATTTTATTACTATTTGTACCAAAGAATAGCTTTATGACTGGTTACCGCATAATAGAAACAAGATCAAAACGAATTTAATTTAATGTGTTGCTTGTGAGCTGGTATTGACCCTGCTACTGCAGAAAAGAACACAGCTCTATAACAGGGAATGCAATCCAATCTCTAGCTAAGAATAAACAGCAAAAACACAAAGACTTACTATGTCACGTACCTCTACATCAGTATACGCACTCCTAAGCTTCAATCTATGTTCAACCAAATTGCATTCTGGATTTCCTGATGCAGCCTCAATTTCGCTGGGAGTCCATAAATATGGATTGTAAGAATATGCCATGTTAGCAGCTGTGCTGCAGAAATCATCCTGAATCTTAGATATAAATGGATGCTGCTCTGCATCTGCATCCTCTGTTCCAAGAAGCTCCCTGAGAAAATTAGGGTCTGGATTTTCCTCTGGACCGCATAAATTGTCAATCTCGCTAGCGTCCTGACTAACATCACCATGATCCTCCAAGTGTTCCATGTAAGATTCACCTCCAGATACAGCTTTATCGAAGATTGTGTTTGATTCTTCAGGATTTGAGTCTATACATATGTTGTGATTATCTACATCCAAAGTGGCATTGTTTTCAGAGCAGGGCTTCATTTCGCCTGAGCTAGTATTCCCAAAATCTCCACTGGAATCCAAACTTTCCATCATTGTTTTGTCAACTTCATTAAGAGAATTTAGTTGTTCCATTCTGCTAGTACTTTGACATGAAATATCAGCACCGACTCTCTCTTCAGTGGCCAGAGCAGGTGATGCATCAATGTTCTCTAGTAAAGACGCTTCAGATATGGAACATGAAACCCCTGAAGCCATATCAAAGAATGTCATAGAGATACTGGAATCATTGTGAAGCTTCCTGTCAAGTAAATCCTCGGAAAACATAGTCTTTGCTGGAGATGTATAAGATTGATTATCTTTGAAAGGTAGATCCTGATTTAAATTCTCTTTAAAAATAGCAGCATCAGTTAAATCTTCATCTGTCATGGGTACAACCATATTTAGTAACTCAGAGTTGGATACATTTATTTCTCCATGTAAGAGATCTTTGGATTCCTGAGCCAGCTCCTTGTCAGATGATGAATCTGGGTTATTATTAATTAATTCATTTGACATGCCTTCATTTGATTGAGAATGAAAAGCACTCAACGTACTCTGAACAGAATGATCTGTTTGAATGGTGCTGCTATGTCCTCCATGATCCAGCTGCAACCATCAACAGAAAGCCCGGTTAGAAGAAACAGTTGGAACATTTTGTTAGATGGGCTTGAAGTGTCATCATCATAGAAGTCATCTAGCATGACCATTTTATTTATTGCTTTTGTAACACTATTAGATAAATTATCAACTTCCATTATGTTCAGAATATGTCAGAGGAGCTTAACAGCCATCGTAAACATTAACGTGTGAGATGAAGGTACCTTTTCTTGTGCAGATGAAGTCTCAATATCATTCTGATGGTTTTGATTAACATCAATTCTCTTTAAACTGCTGCCTTCCTCAATATCCATTGCCCCAGTGCCATTATCTACAGTCTGCTGCGGTCTGCAAAATAATTATAATATCTACAGTCTCTTCTCCATCTAGAAACACAGATGAACTCATCAGGTATAAATCAGATGTTACCTATATAAACGTGAACCAACATATGCCCGTGGTGCATATATAGTAGAAGCACGCTGTCCTGATATCTGATCCCGAGCAAGTCCAGACAAATCTAACTGTGGAATGCAAATAATTAAGAAATAAGTAAAGTGGGGTACATCATGACTGTACCTTTAGCTCTAACAAAGAAACAGATTTACCTTCTGTTCAGATATAAATTTGTAGAGGGGACTCTGATGGAAAAAACAAATCAATTTATCAGTCCCAGAACTAGGTGTGCAAAGAAAGAGCTCAAATCAAGAGAACAGAAACACAGTTTACGTTGGGAGTAGCATTAAAATCTCCACAAACTATGACTGGAGCATTATGCCAATTTCTAGAGACAGCATATGCTCGATCAAGGAGCATCCTAACCTGTAAGAAAGCTGAATTTAGCAATAACAATTAACATACGCTAATTGTAGGTTGAGTGCAAAACAATCCCCAACATTGGATAAAACCAATGTATCTTAAATTAAATTCATTTAAACTGCTCAGCCAAATTATGAGCCAGCATACACAAATGCATCTGTGAACTTTTTTTTTTAAATGTGTGTGTCCATATAAGCAACCCTAATGCATGTAGAACTCATCAGCAAACAGATTTTTGACACATGTATCACATGCTATTAATAAAGAGAAATGAATATTTTTACACAAAAGCACTAAAGTAAAGTATAACAAGGATAAAATTTGCCCACATATAATATTATAGCTGGATACATTAAATTAGAACGTTAATATTAACAAAAAAATTGTATTAGAGTATATTATAGCAGGATACATTACATTAGAACACTAATATTTAACAAAAAAATTGTATTAGAGTTATACTTTTTAGTTTTTTTAATCAATAAATAATTTTAAAGATTATGTATGCAAAACTTGACATACCAAATAGGAAACTGAAAACCCCTCAGATTTTTTACACTTGAAAATCTAAACACTATAATGGAGGTCCCATTTTAAAGACAAGTGCAAGCAAAATTTTGCTTTGATGATAATTAAATCTTGAGATTGGAGCACAGATAAGAGTATCTGGTGGGAATACAGCTACAGGTCTTTGGCAAAATGGACAATTTGGTGATTTTTACAGCTTGCGGATACGTTTTTTAGTTTTCTGACCATCTGTTTAAGTGTTAAACAACTGCCCTGAACAAGCACATGCAATATGCAATTAGCAAATCCCTTAAGAGTTTTGCATTTGATATATAATTTACAAGTGTAAGCAAGCATCCTCGGTTAAACTATACTTGGATGCAGCATACATTTGGAGGAGAACTACAGAACATCAGTAAATGCCTCGGTTACATGGAATATATGGCATTCTTTTAACCTACGCATTTTACAGATTAGAGGCACAATTAGAGGAACCCTTTTGCCCCCTAGAACTTTTGGTTCTATCAGTTTCAAGCTTCATATCTTACTATGGTTTCAGGGATTATTAAATGAAAGTAAATAATTAAGGGGAAAAAACTTTTAATTCTCCACCACTGAATCCGTGACTGCACGACGATCCATATGTGGTGATAAAAAGTGATAGATCTATGCTTTTTATTAAGCTAATCCAAATTCAAAACTTCCATATTCTAGTATTAAGCATCTGACAGTTAAATTGTTAAAAACTAAATTGTTATAACCCTTAAATAGTAATTTAACTATGACTATCAAATTGTCTCACATTAGCGTGAAAATGAGTAGGAAAAAGAAGCCAGAATGTGGATTAAGTTGCATGATCAAATGCTTTTCTAAACAACTTGCAGACTCAAATTAGAAATGCTTGACATGCACAAATATACTGGCTGTGCCGCAACACCAAGAAGAAAAGCCTACAAATATTAAGAGTCGCCGAATGTGATAGCGGATCATAGTTATGTGATATGTCATGTGTAACCATCATCCTGTTGCCTTATGAATCTACTAAGGATATACCTGTCCAAGCTTCATTTCTCCCCTTTTTGGATTGTACAGCACATGAATGTTGCAAATAACAATCTGGTTAACTCCTCTTGATTGATCAGAGCTGCATATTTAGTTGCACTTTTAGCAGTCAATATTAGAGTGTCCGAGCTTCTAACAACAAAAAGCACAACTATTTGGACTGCTTAATTGATGGAGAAGCTACCCAGTGGTCCTTGTCCAATGGATTGATGTGCACCAAGAGCAGTTGAACCCTGGATAAATACTTATGCAAGGGAATTGGAGATTAGTCCTCCAATCCAAGGGTTATTCTTCCATTGGTATACCATTAATCCAGTGTCCAGGGAACACTGGATAGTTGTTCCCAGTTGGAGCAGCAGTGCCTCAAAACATTTTATGAATGTTGTTTATTTACCCACTGTTGTGTCATAAAGTTGTCGGTACAACATTTGAGGGTGCAAATGGTGAAGCAGGCATTGTGCTTCAAAGTGCAATACCATCCACATATTGGGACTGAAATCATGCATAATGATGACATATTAGTAATCTATCCTTAAGATCACAATTCTGTTTAGTTTCCTTCTTCAAGAAAATATGATAAAATCATGACCTAAAAAGTCATTGTAATTTTTTTAATGATAAGTCATACTTGCAGTTAGGAGCTATCTAGGCGAACAATAAAATGTAGTTCCTGCTATGACACTGGGAGCTGCATGTAGCTAGACAGATGCTGCAACTCCAGCTACACAACTGCAAACAACCTACATTCAACTGAATCCCAAAGAAATACCAAATAATCTATGTATACCATGCCACATGTTAATGTCAACTGGTATCACATGTTTAAAGCACGTAGCATAGAAAGGAAGAAGTTGAATCAGTTTTCCTTATTCTGACTTAGATAGGACTTGAACCTGGGACTTCCGTTAACCCATACCAAAAACATGAGGGCTAAAAGGTAGATATGTTCAGTAAACACAAACCTTTCAAGAACACACAGATAAGTCTTAGATACACATCACTAGAGTTGAAGCAACCAACCCCAGCTAAATTCAAGTTTCATCAAGATTTCATACCAAATGATAATCTCATAATGATAAGTTAAAAGTTGAAGTGAAATGAAATCAGAAATAATTTAAAGAAATTTGGCACATACCTTGCAGGAGCTGTAGATAGCTTATCAACTGGATTTTGATTCCTTGACTGGTCAAGAAATGGAAGGCAGCTAGATTTAAATGGTATAAAACAATACCATCCAACAGAATGGAGAAATAAATAATACGGATAAAATAGGATCAAGTTACCTCCAAAACACAAATCTGGGCAACATTATCTCGCAGTCCAAGTTTGTTAAACTCAATATGCTCTTCATGTTGCAGCTGGAACCTGACTTACAAATAAAGAAGATAAAGCAGAGACAGTTACTTATCCTAAAAAGTGGTATGTGTAGTGAATAACATCATTGCAACACCCAAAAAGGGGGCTAAATGATATAAAACCACATTGTTTCTACATATGCAATAAATGGGCAAATATATGTATCCTAAAAGGACAGAAGTGCCTTAGCTAGATAATGATCTCACAGACATTACGGAAACGAAATGGAGAAAGATAATTTCTAATAGCAACATGCAAACAAAATCTTTGGAATCGTAGGATCCTGAATTAGTGAAAAAAATAAATTTTGTGAGCAGTTCACGTATCTTTAGGAATATAACTAAGGGTGTTTTTTGGTTAGTTAGGAAGTTGTTCACTACTATGCAAGACTAAGGAGGATGGTGCACATCGACTAAAGTAGGATGGTTGAATCGCAATGTGTCACCCTTGACCTTCATTGTTACTGTCTACTGAAGGGAACTTTACTTCACAAACACAAGACAATCCATATTTTGGGTCAGAACATTAGAGGAAAAAGGAACACAATTGCTAGAAAGTTATCAGAATGTTGGAATCATGAATGATAATATATTAAAGTACAAGAGATGAGTGCGTTGATAATTAGACATCTCCATGGACTTGATACAAAGATGAGAACACTCTACAAAGTAAGAACATCCATGGAGACCAATGACTTCACAACTTTTAAGAGATTGTAGCCTAAAGCACTGCAAAGGTTAGGTAAGGCAAGAGCATGATTGGGTTGAGGCAGCAAAGGACAACGTTTATAAGAAATGTCCCTTACCAGAGCTGGAGATAGGAAGTTATATGACCCAATTTTTTTGGATAAAAGGTGTTTTGCTACTGCAGTTATGTTGCTGTTTTTGGTATTGGTTAGACACTTAGACTGGTCAAAAGGTCAAAGATATCAAGACGTCAATCACTTCTATGTCTTTGCTTTTCAAATGGAAGGGCGTTGAACACACTAGAAGAAGTATGCTTATTCAGCTCACTCAGTTTTGGTTTTAAGAAAAATAATATTTTTCGATCTGTAAGTTGGAAAGCTACCTGTTTGTTCGCCAAAAAATTGCACATCCATCAACAGCATTTCCAGTGCGCATCTGCATAGTCAATTAAAGTGGTAGTGGCAACTGCCAAAAATTTTATCATCATATTTATAGTTAAAATTTTGAAGAATATGTTTCATTTGTAAAATGAGCTTCATGTCAAGAAATTAACAATTAATCAAAGTTAGAAATCAAGATCAGGATAACATGGTGTATTCGTGGCACCAGATTAAGAATGAAAACCATACAGCAATTTGTAGCTCATCAGAAAAATAAACTCTCTAATTGTATACATGATGAAGATGAACTTGTACTTATTTACAACGTAACCGGAAAATGGCAGTTTAAATTGCCAATGCAAATTGTCGGGGTAAGATCTAGGACAGAAGGACGAAAATCCAGCATGTCTAGAGATGCCCTTAACATGATGAAATAGTCTACAGGTGCCTCTTTTGTTTCTTCATCGCAATTTAATGCATGGAAATTCCATTGTGATGTCCAAATATACTTGTCACCTCACAGAAGAAATGCATAATCAGTATAAAGAGATGACCACGACCCTAGGGCTGGAATCTAATCCTATCAAATTGAATACTCATCTAGAATATGTGAATACAAATTTGAATTTCCTTCTACAAACCCAAATCAAGTTGCTACTTTCTTCAAATATATATTAAATACTAAAACATGCACTTGATTTGTATCCTAAAGTTAAATGATACAGAATTACTTGATTAAAGAGAGACTTCCATGTGATTAAAAGATAGAACTGTTTAATGGTATTTAAATTCATAGTTGAAAATTATTCCTATATAATAATTGTCTATAAACCTATAATTTGAATCTTCGAGTAGAACCTTTGATTTGTGTATCATTTGTTAATATTGAGGAGAATGTGAGAGTTAAAGAAAAAGACAGAGGGTTAAATGTTAAATATTGGGACAAATTCTTTGGAGATGGGTATAAAACCTGGAGAATTAAAGTATAACATCATATATGGGCAATAACACAAAATGTAAGCGATTAAATGTGGCAAACAAACATTTGATGAAAAACAATATTCACTTTGTCAATAGATGAATACCAAATAGAGTTTCTCTTCAACGCAGATGAATTATAATAAAAACCAAGTGTATCTAGCTATATGATAAAGTCAGAAAATAGAAATTTTGAAAAACAACATAAGATTGTATATCAATTACCTTCCAAATACCAGCATATCCTCGAATCGTTAGTTCCTCCTCCAAGTCATGAAATCTATCAACCTCCTGGAAGGATACCAAGGAGTAAATATAATCATCTAAACAATCTAAATCAAGGTACAGCAGCAAAAGAATAAGTTGCTGCACAAACTTATTGAATAAAAAAATAACTCTCATAACTTTGGCAATGATTAAGCATGTTTTAGGCATCAAAACTAAGAATCTAAATGGGAAAAATACACCTTAGGCATATACACAAAGTAGTACTCATTCACCATGAATTCTCTTTTAGCTCCATTTTAAAAAACCTTGCAACTTTTCTACTTGTTCATGGGTGTGAAGTCAAACTGAATAACTTGTATTAGTTATAGACACTTTAAGGAAATGTATATAATGATGGTTGGAACAAATTGCTACTGGAATTACCCAACCAGACAAATTATTTTACCAAGTGCAAAGACGAGACGATTATCTGATTACTGAAACGGCCACAATTTGATTAAACTGATGTCTCTAGTATAGAATAAGATAAATATGATGCATATAAAAAATATATCAACATTTCTCCATTTGGTGAACCAACCAATATCAGATAAGAATCACATGCCTGCCTAAGAAGTGGCTCTGGACATCAATCTAGACAGATCCAATCTTATTGCAGCCACGTACATCTTGAATAAAGATACATAAGAGGCGAAGGGACAAATCATCAAGGAACCAGGATAAGGATGTTATATTTAATTCCAAAGAGAAATGTAAAGCAGAAAACAACCAAAAATGGCTTGGTCATTACAGTAGCTCTGCCATCTCAAGGAAGTTTATATAAATATGAATCATGGAAGGGACCCACAATGTAAGGAAAGCCCTGCTATGACTCTCTTCAGCAACTAAAATAAAATAAGAGAGAGTAGCAACAGATCACAAGTCTATAGAGGACAAATCAAGGTCATAAACTACGATAAAACAACATCACCAACTGCGTGAAAAGTTAGCAACTACTGAAAATACCTGAAGACACATGATGTCAGGAGACCATAATCCAAACTCCAAGAACAGCCTTTTCTTTCGCCACTCCCAATCCAAAATGTGATGAGGAATATGAAAATATAGCTTGGAACGATGATCTCTTGCAAGGTAGTCCGCGAGAATATTGTACGCCAGTACAGTAAATCGCTCTGGTCAATTGCAGGACGTAAATTAATAAAACAATGGCTATATATACATTTCAGTGGAGACATAAAGACCTTAAGAAACTAAACTTTCATAGATATGAAGTAATAGAGAAGTTTGTATATAGTAATAAATTTTGACAATTTGCCATGAAAGAGAGGGCTAATTATTTGTGGCTTACCATTAAATTCAAACAAAATAATGTCTAAGTGTTGCAACCTAGTACATCATGAACAAACAATTAAAAGGTGGGCTATTTCAGTTATCATTGTTTATTTTATTCAAACAAATAAGGTTTCATATCAAATAAAAAGCACCCAACATTGTATTACTAAATTTCAGTTGATAAAGAAATTTAAAATCAATAAATTGGAGATTACATGGGTTCATGCTAACAACTAATTGACAGCATACTCTTGACTCAACTGGGCATAAACCCTTCAACTTAATCTCTACTTATCTAGAGGGAACCTTACAAATTATACACTAAACCAAGTTCTGTCTGTCTTTTTAACATGAGATTTGTGATTTACAGAAGGTACTATGAGGAAATAAGGTCTAAAGACACAGGAAATGTATGCGCCAAAAAACAACCTTCTCAAAATTGACAGCCACTAATATCCCTCCTTCATAAATAAAGACAAATTGGTGTAATTCCTAAAGACACAGGAAATTGACATGTGTCATAGTACGAAAACAAAAAAAGCTGACATGTGTCATATCAGAAGATGACATGTAGACACTTAATCGTGTGTTCATCAAATTAAAACTATCCACTATTAGAAAATTCTTTTAATTATGGACAAGTACACTCTTTTAATTAGTTTAAAATTATAATCAATTGTAAGGATATTTTAGGAAAGGATAAGTATTTTAAACACATTCTTTTCCAACTCTTTCTACAAAAATTCAAGTATCATCATATACCTTTCCTTAATTAACTAGACCTAATCCTCCCTCCTTTGTTTATATATATAAAAAGAATATATATAAAGAGAATAGGTGAATCACTTAAATGCCATATTCATATCCTCAAAATACCTATTCTTACAAGCAGTGTCGTGTATTGTAAAGCCTATCCATCCTATCTATTTTCACATTTTTGGGGTAAATTACACAAAAATCCCAATACATTTGCTGTTTTGCTGTAAACTCCTAAAAAGCTAAAAAGTCTCATTAAATCTCCAAATAACCTTGGAATTTCAGAAACCCACAACACAACTTTTAGTTTTCTGCACTAATGGTCATAATGGTGTTAAACTGTTACATGGATGAAAGTACCCTCAAGGCTAATTACAGTCTACAAAAATTATTAACATTACACAAAAGCCCTAAAAAATTAAGAAATTACATAGAGCCAACTAAAAATCTGAAAATTACGGACTACAACTGAAAAAAAAAGAATTTTTTTAAAAGGCACATTAAATAAGAAAACTACAAACAACCCCCTCAAAAATAAAAAAAATTAAAAAATCCTGAAAAATCATAAATCTATACAAAATCCTGAAAAACCAGGAATTGCAAAAGGCTCCAGAAAATTTTGAAATTGAAAAAAAGCCCCTATAGATTTGAAAGTTACAATGAACCCCCTTTAAAATCTAAAAATTACAAAAAACCTCTAAAAATCTGAAAGTTACAAATAGACCCCTTTCAAATTTGATAATTACAAACAATGCCTTTAAGAATCCAAAATTTGCAAACTGCCCCAAAAGTCTAAAATTACAAAACAACCCGTAAAGATATTAAAACTTAA